TTACCCAATGACGTCAGTTGGACAAAAGGATTTACAGGTTTATTTGGCCAAGGAAAATTGCTGGGGTATTTTGAATTTGAAAACTGTTGCGCCTGGAAGTGTTTCCGTCGATTCTGAGCCTTCTTTATTAGGCGAATTATTCATGGACACTCGAAAGGAGCTGCGTTTATAAGCCGCTTAATGGATCGACACACACACACACACACACACAAAAGGTCGGTACATCCGGCTGATACGGATACGTATTTTGCCAGAAACTCTTATACAACACCAATGGTCTTTTATATATTTTTTGTGAGTATTATTTACATAAAAACTTCGATTCTCGATAAGTGCCGACCCCAACTCAAGCGTAAAATGATCGATAATTTATTTATGCGAAACCAGGTGGAGAACGGTTTGTGGAGCGGTGATTATATTACCTCCACGCTACTCAATTATTCACAAAGTTCGATGGCAGGACAAAAATAACAAAAGCTTTTGTGCCAAATTTCAATATCCAGAGTATCTTCCATAATCCCCAGGGTTCAAAGCATAAATCACTTTCTTCGGGCCACTTAAAAATATCACACAAATTGTTTTCTTGCGATGCGAATGCATAAAAAGGAAATAATTCCTAATAAAAATATCAAGTAAAGAGAGCATATTTCGAGGTCAGATTTCATGGGACAATTTGTCATTCGAATTGTTTACCAGTTAACAGCCACTTAAAATTATAATGGCAAATGCATTTGCGTCCTCGTTGGGATGGCGAAAGGCATGGCATTTATTTAAATTTCAAGCCAAATTCTATAAGATACATTTTTTAGGTTATTCATTAAAAAATTATAAAAATGCAAATACTTTTTAGGTGGTTTTTCTCTTCTGGGAATATATTTTGAGGCCACAGATCATGGACATGGGCTTACAGAGAACTATGTTTAAATAATACTTTTTAATAGTTAAATAATTATTTGTTATTTATTTGTTTCAAATAACTTATTTGTTTCAAATAACTTAGTAAAGCCTTAACAGAAGTATAATAGTTAACACATATAAAAACCTAAGAGATTTTTCTCAAAAAGCTGCATAAATAAATAGAATACCCTAAAAGATTACTGTCAAGATTAAGCTGTTGATAAAAATAATTATTTATTGATAATATATTTAATTGTAATGGAATGATAAAAAATAATTAATCCTATCCGAATGTCTTTTCCCAATTAACCGTATTTAAGACTAGACAGTTTACCCACCATTTCGCTGGTCGACTTTATTTTCCTTTTATTTCCGGGCTGGCACTTTTTCTGCCCTCGTTTGGCCTACAATTGATTGTTGTTTGTTTTTATTTTATGGCCCAATTCGACGGACACTGGCGACAAAGTATCCGGCGTAGTTTTTGGCACGATTCGGCTGTTAATCAGAAGCCGGCGTAAACAGCGCCGGACGAAGCGATGAAAGCCGTAAAAGCGGCATTAACACGGCCGTTAAACCGGACAATTCGATGATCGGAGCGCCGGAATACGCGTGCCCATCAATCAGACGATGAAGTCAAAGAAGTAACGGCCGCAAAAGGTGAATGGTAAATAGTAAATTGAGCAGTTAAACTGGCGAAAAAAAGGGACGACGATGGGCAGCTGACGGTTGCCAAAAAGTGACTGAGACAACCGAAAGGACGAAAGCAAACTCTGGCAGCCACAGACACAAACACAATCTCGACGACGACAGGATGACCTTCACCAACACGCACAGCAAAGAAAACCATTCTATATATGTATATATATATACTGATGGCCAAAAAGCAAAGTTTTTCGCACACAAACAACCCACACACTCACACACTCAGCTATGACGCAGCGGAAAAGCTTTCGCTGGAGAAAAGGACCTAAACTGACACAGGGAGGAGCAGCGTTCCCTTCGAGTTTCAAGTGCAAATTCGACATTAACTTTCAAAAAGCTGCCGCTGTAGCAAGAAGGCTGCAATGCCCTTTGATTTAGGACTATCAATAAGAAATATGCGAAAGATACTATTCAATTATATTTATAAAATTCGGACTTTCCAATTTAGTGGACTCTTTTATTAGCAAATTAATTTAATTACATATTTATTCGTTAATTCAAAAATGATCTTGTTTTGCAATACGAAAGAACTAAGATCCTTGAACCATTCCATGTAATAATGACACATTTTATTTGTTTAAAAATAAATAAAAAATAAAAATAAAATTATTAAAGTTATAAATCTCCCAAACGTAGACTCTATAATAAAATACGTCAGTAATTTGTATACCAACTATCGAATTGTGGGCTATAGATTAACAATCTTTTGCAATATTCTAACAAAGATAAGACAAGTTTAAAAAAAAGCTTGGAGTATTAATAATATATATATTTTCAGTAGAGATCAGTAGAAATAAAATCAAATAATATAGTAATTTTGTAATATGTATAAAAGTTCAAATTATTAATAAAAAATTGTAATTTTTTAAATAATACTAAAGGGTATTAAAAATTTCCTCAACAGAAGACCTTTTATTATTGGTGGCACAACTAACGACGTCGTCATTTGCAGTAACAAACCGAATCAGCAAAACACACCAACGCAGAACGAAATCAAAGCTTTTCCCTTGCGCACACCCCCACACTTTGAAGATTTTCCGCTAAAAGCTTTTCCGAGCGAATTCGCTAGTAACTTGTTACCCATTTCCCGCAGTTTGCAACTTTCCAAATTTCCCCACTTACTTCACGCTCCCGGGCGATAGACGATAGATGCATTTGCAGGCTGCGATCGCTGACGGCGTCCTCCTCGGGAATTGTGGTGCAGGAAGTCCGCACATGTCGCATCCGATGCACTGCGTCCAAGCTCAGCCGATGCTCATGATCGTCCCGGAGCAGAGCATCGAACATGGCCACTCCGCCATCGATGCTGCTTTCGCGCAGGATGCGTCCACCACGGCCACTGCAATGGGGATTCGGGTGATTGTGCTGATGCTGCTGATGTTGGTGGGTGGTGGTCACGACTCCTTCCGAAAACGAACGGATTCGCATGGCGCCGTTGGCATCGGTGGTCAGAGCCACCGAGCGAAAGCGATCGATGACCGCATCCTGGATGCTGTTCACACTCAACTGGTTACCCATTGCGCGCGGGGGGGGAAAAAGTCGAGCGAGCAAGGATGTAATGGCTATTATCCACCGCAGGAGGCTTCTGCACGGCGCCAGGATGCTAATCCAACTGACAGCGAGTCCCACATTCAACAGGCAATTGGCCCCAGAGAGGCACACACACTCAAAGTCCAGAGAGAAAGGGGTGGAGAAAGTGGCTTTACCGGTGAGAGCAGGAGGAGAAGGAGGAGAAGGAGGAGGAGAAGGGGTCAGAGGGCACCGCCTCCACAGGTGCGCTGCTATATTTACATTGCAGCATTGCAAGCTTTGACTGCAACCAACCACCCAATATAAACTTTAAAGCTCCTTGGCCACTGCACTTTCACGAAAGAATGCAGTCCTCTGAACAATAGGGCCCACAAATCATGTGTTTCAAAATCCACATTTAGACGGGTTTTATTTAACACTTCGCTCTAAAATAGAACAAAGGCTGTATTGATTTTCGTTTAGGCGACCGTTAGATGACCAGCCAAGTGCCGCCTGTTGATTTTAAGGGGTTGAAAAAACCGCTATTAAACTCATTCACATATGATAAATTAAAAAACTTTCCTAGGCAATCCTATTGTTAAACAATTTGTAAAATTAATACAGTTTTTTAAAATACTTTTTGGTAAGAAACAGGGCAGAATTTTTAATAAAAAGAAACAAAGAAGTTAGCATCAGCAAATCGAAGCTAAATAATCTTACAGATGGAAAAAAAATAAGCTCGAGTGATCGACACAATATGATATAGTCAGTCTGATTATTTTAATATTATCAGATTTTTCTTTATGTCAGCTATTTGACGCATAGACGTGTACGGGCATTTCCAGGAAAAAGTCAACAAAGCCGCAAAAACTTGAAGTTGACAAAAATATTTTTTTTATTAAATAAAATGTTAAGGAAACACTCAAATTTTGATGAGCGTTTACACCAGAGTCCATTTCTTACTTAAATACACAATTTTGAACAGAAGCAACACTAGCTATTTGTTTCAGAAAAATTTTGTTACATTTTTCGTTTAATTGTTATGGCTTCTGTGGATGCTTTTGGATCAAACAAAATATCACGTATTTAAGTTTTAGCCAAAGGTTTTCAGATAAAAATGTAAATAACTTAAATGCCCATTTTCAGCTTTATATTTGTCATCGTTGAACATCGCGTCCTAAATCAAACCATAATGGTTACCAAACATATCTTTGGTATAAAAAGCGAATATTTAAGTCAAAATAAGTTTGACGTTTTCAGCTTTTTAACCAAAATTATAAGAAAACTCAAGGAACAGAAAAACATCTTTACATTTTCTGGTGGCAGCAGCTTGCAATTTAAAAATATATTTATAGTCCGTAGCTTAGATGAATGCCAGCACCTTTTAAGTATACTGCAAAAAAAAAGGATGTGCAAACACTCCATCCAGATTCGCAGACTTGTGTGCTTTTATTATGATTTGTAAATTACTATTCCATTTTTGTCGCGTCTGAAATTCATGTATTTTTTTTAATTTCAAGAAGTAACTATATATATTTAGCTAAGAATTTAAACCAACGGTAGAGATGATTAGGCGCTATCCCAAACAAAATTTAAAAAATAAAATAACTCATTATTCACTCATTATTCAGAATGTCTCGTCCGAAACCATGGATTTGCCTATATAAAAATATTCAAATCGTATGTATCGCCGATTTTTGACTAAAAATAAAGATTTTTATCATTTTGGAACTGAAGCTGTAATACATATATCATTCAAAGAATAGACAAAATCATCTTGATTCAAAATACGTATGTATTCAAATTGTTTAATAAAAAAACAGGGCACAGTAGGCTTTGACCCCTTATTCAAACCCAAATTTCACGTGGCTGTGCTGAGTCCAACATACATTCAGTTTGTTTTATAGTCTTGTACGGAACACATAACTTTTTACTTGGAAAAAAACCCAAAAATTTATAGATTGTTTTGATATTTTTATTTTGAACAAAATTTTCTATTGAAAAAATTAGTTAAGCGCAAATAAAAGTGAACCATGAGTTTTCTGTGGTTCAAAGATTATAAGACCAAGAAAACTCTGGAAGATGGACTCAAGTCTGACATTTATGTCAATTACGATGGCATTGGCGATTTACAGGCTGCTTGTAGTTCCGATTATAATGATGAGTCGTCCTACATTAACTTCCTGGGGCAGTACTGGACTCGCTACGAAGATTACTACACAGATTCGCAAATTGAACAGGCGGCTGCGAGCCGATGGAACGATATGTCCGTCAGCGATCGACGCCAGTACTCTTTGGTAGGTTATAACCTCGGTTAAAACTAAAATACAAAACAATAATTAAACATCCCACCTTTTAGCAGAGCCCACCCATAGCTACACGAGGTGATACCGATTGCTCTAGCACTAGCATTATCAAGCTGCCCAGCTCTGTGGACAGCGATGTCCAAATGAAATCTGAGCCAGATACCTCAAAGGACACAGGCGCTTTCTTTGGCCACAGTAGCGACGAATGTCAAAGGAGGAAGCCCAAGTGCGTTAAGCCCAGGAAGAGATGCGCCAAACCGAGGGCGAAGTCAAAGGTTAAGAGGAGATGCGCCAAGCCCAAGCCCAAGTGCGCCAGAGCCAAGCCAAAATGCCACAGGCCGAGGAAGAAGGCGTGCTCTAAACCGAGGCCCAGAGCTTGTAAGGCTAAGCCCGTGTGCCACAAACCAAGGTACTGAAAGTAACCGTAGAGAAGCGGGACTCCTTTTGCCGCCAACCTTTAGGCCATATTTAGATCCAGACAGAACAGACAGCACTGCTTGAATCGTTGGAGAACTCCCGGGATAAAGCGGTCCTCAAGCCAGGAAGGTCCAACTTGTATTCTTAAAAGCCTCACAAGCATAAATAAAAGTGTCTGTTAAAAGTTTTTATGTTGGACTCGTAGTGGCAGCCCATATTTTAGGTACTGTTCGAAGTTCTATACCCGAAAGAATCTTGGGCTCACAGTGGTTGGGCTTGGTGTTCAGGGTACCAAAATTGTTCCAAAAAAAAAAAGGGTAAAACAGACGTACAGGTGGACGAAAGGACGGACATGGCTAGATACTTTATATATACTTTATAGGGTCGTAAACGTTGCAAACTTCTGACTGAAAATATAATACCATGCAGGGTGTATAAAAAGTACATATCATCAAGCTGTAGTGTGTTAGTGGAGTGAATAGCAAAAGAATGATTTGTCAACCCGTGAAACCCAGCCTCACGCCCAAAGGAGTGGTCCATAAGTTTTGAACATATTTATTAGCCATGTTAAATATAGATGAATGTTGGACTCACCCGCTCGAGTTTCTGGAAGTACTGTCGCAGGAACTGCACGGGATTCTCGGGTCTGCAGACGCACAGCTGGACGATGCAGTCCTTGAGGACGCGCTGGATGCCATGAGTCTGGATGTAGTGCTCGCATTCCCGGAGGCTCTGCTCCTCCAGCGTTTTGGCCATCATATAGGACATGTGCGGAGTGGTTTTTGGAGTGGGTTCGCGATGGAGAGATGGTAATGGAAACAGCTTTTCAAGCGCCGCACTACGCAATATATATGTACACAATTTGTTTTAGGAGTGCGTGTGTGGGTGTGGGTGTGCTCTTGGATGGTTACTACTTGCTGTTTCGATGGCAAATCGGTTGAAACCGCAAATAATTTGACTATATCTTTGATGCCCGAGTTTGACTACACCCCCTGCTTTATCGCCCGTTCGTTTTTCGCAGCTTTTCTTTGCGTTTTTGGCACCGTTTTGTTCAGTTTTCCACAGCACTGCCCCGTTTTCACTTTCGCAATATTCACGTTTCTGGACCCTTTTGGTCTGTCCTGCTGATTAAAGCCCTTTGCCCCGCACTCCCCCGCAGCATATGGATTGATCCAAAACACGCCTAGATTCAGCCAAATTAGTTTTTTTCAAAAAAACTTAACTAATTTTCACGCACGTAAAACACAGACGTTGTTGTTGTTTCTTGTTGGCTGCATGTAGTGGTGGGCGTCCTCAGTCACGCATATATCGATAACTTCGGTGGCGGTGTCAACACTGCCATGTCGATAACAGCGCAGCCATTGTGAATGACAGTTGAAAGAATTTAAACTGCGGAAAAGCTTTTTCGAAGGGTGTTTTACTGAAATTAATGTTTCGCCTAATCCAATAAAGATCAAAAGCAGTAGCTATGTGGATGTTAGATGTTAGAGCGTGCTCGAGCCAATCAACGGAGGTAAGTTAACTTTGTTTTTGTAAATGTTTTCCCTTAGCTGTCTTTGGGTTTGGGTAAAAAAGTATTGATTTTTCCGGATTTTCCTCTTACAGCTAAAATGCTGCACACCGAATCCCTGCCAGCCGCTGGCCACCAGGGCATCTATGCTCCATTAAGTCAGGCAATGAGCGATTCCGAATCCGACGAGGAAATCGAGATCCACAACGCCGCCAATCATCGCCAGAAACTGCAGCAAAAACTTCAGCTAACTCATCAGCATCCCCAGGAGCAGCTGCAATCCCAAAGGATACGCATTCCGCCAAATACGTTGGCCCTAAAATCCCCACATACCCGTACACCCACCGCCACGAGAATCGTGACCCGGAATTCCACCGCAAATCCCGCCCAGAAGTTCCAACTGGAGGGCAGCAGCTACGCCACCAATATGCAGAATACCTTCCGCTCCGTCATGTTGAGTGATAATGGCGTCGTGGGCTCCGAGCTGTCCAACTTCAACAGCGAATTCGACTCCAATGCGGATAACGTGGCCATTTTGGGTGGCAATCAGGCTGGCGAGGATTCGGCCAAAAGGACACCCATGTCGCCGGCCAGAAAATGCTGTTTCATTGGCAGCCTGATGCTCTGCTTCCTGGCCATCGTATCCTTTGTTTGGCTAGTGCCCTGCGGCAATCCAGACGGCACAGGATCCTGCCCAGCGGTGGTGGATCGCCTCAAGACCCACAACTGGTTTAATAACTACACAAGGGCGGAGCTCAAGGGTGGAGTTAATGTGGTAGGCGGACTGCGAGCCTGGGAGAACAACCTGATCTTCATGTACCGCGGCGATGCCTTTTTCCCGGAATTCCGACCTGGGAACGAGCGACGCAATGGCATCATCTGCTTGATTGGCTCCTCAGGAGCTGTGGCCTGGTTTGTGGAGATGGTGGACGAGCCGGTGGCTCTGGACTGCACCCTCATCGACATGGATGGCAATGCGAAGTCAGACTGCCTGGTGCTGGATGAGTATGGCGAACTGGGCGCCATTAATCCCGTCTCCGGCCAATGGCTTTGGTGGTATAAGGAACGTTCAGCCCACAAGGTGGATGCCTACGATTTCCCCGTCATCCTGCCCGATCTGGATGCGGATGGTGTGCTTGATCTCCTGCTCGTCACCAGTTTATCGCTGGAACAGCGCACCAAATCGCTGGCCCAGGTGAAGCATGAATCTCCGGGACAACTAGAAGCACGAAATGTTCTGCGTTTGCTGTCGGGACGCAAAGGATCACCTATCGGCGATGGCTTCCGCATCCACGACTGCGAGAGGCTCAGCAACGTCAAGCTGGAGGCGGGCAATGTGGGCTTCATCTGCCAGCGGGCCAATGGCACCGAGCAGCAGCGTTCCAAGAGTCTGGCGGAGATCTACGCCCTCATCACCAACAAGTCGATTGCTGGCCAAAGGCTGTCCACTGCAAAGATCTTGCAGCATAGGAATCACGGCCAGCGGCGGGACTTGAATGCCCAGCGGAACATCTATTCCCTGAGCGGACGCGAACTTGTGGTTGAGAATCGCGGTCGCTGTCCGGAGGATTGCAATGTCACCTTTGTGCTGAGCGAGGTTCGCGATGGCAGGCCGCACGTGGTGAGGAACTTCAGCGACAGCGGTATGTATGGCATGGTGCCCGCCCAGTGGCACTTCAAGAACACCAAAACCCAGATGTCCGGCTTTGTGATGAAGTTCTGGAAGTGGCACGGCCTGGTGAAGCCATCCAAGCAGACCTCCGCCAGCAGCAACAGCAACAGTGTCCAAAAAAGTGGCAGCAACAATCACACCAAGAACATGAACGCCATCAAGGACAAGGAGAAGGCGCAGACGCAGGCGCAGGCCAAGAAGCAACAGCATCAACGTCTGAAGCGGAGCACGAAAGCGGAGGACCACGAGTTCCCACCTGCCCACCAGGAGTTCGATGTCTTCAAGCACCTCAAGCAAAAGCGGGAAACGTTCGGGGTGCCCTTGAAGAACCTGAGCAAAACCAGTGGCGTCTCCGCCGGGGGCAGCTACAAAATGAACATGATTACGGAAACGGTTCTCCTTGTCCTCTTCGTAGGCGCCGATACGCATATCGAGAACACCTCCCAAAGCAACATCATCCAGTTCTGTCGCCACGAGCGCAAGGATGTGGTGTGCCAGCCCGATCTGAACAACCAGGATCACTCAATGCTCATTGCCGATCTGGACCAGGATGGATCCCAGGAGCTGGTCACCTACATGTCCACATTTGTGCATCCCGAGGACCAGCCGCTCAGCGAGTGGAAGCTTTTGACCTATGTGCGGCTGTTGCGCCTCCAGGCGGAGCTACCCCACTACTACGAGGACGAGCAGCACAACTAGGCTAGGATCCGCATCGGGGTCCAAGTCTGGACTGCATTTAGCCAGCCGAAAGCGAGCTGTCGGACATGAGATTAATCTAGTTGCATGCATTACATTGTACATTAATAGAACCTTTTCTAGACTCCCATAAATAAATCAGTAAACAATAGACTTGAATTGCCAACTTGCTTTAAAACCATTATTTTACCAAATTAATTATTATTTTCCTTATATATTTTCAACAGTTGGTCTTACTACACAGAAATTAGGTATTTTAAAATGAAATAATTGGATGACATAAAACGTGAGTGTAAAATATTGTTCGTTTTTCCTGGGAAAAAAGAAAAGTTCAAACCATGGCTCTCAATGGATCATTCTTCATAGGGATTTATTCAGGATTCATAAACTTTTACAACAGTCATAACCTTCGCTTTAATTTGTATGTAAAGCACGTTTAAAACTAATCAAACGTTTTATTTCGAATTATGATATAACAGAGTCTAAAGATACCGCTGGTTTAAATTTTAATACAATTTACATTGCGATACTAGTTTACAATAGGATACAAAATATTACACATGTGTTTTGGGGGTAAATGTATTATAAAAAAATTCTTACGGCGATAGTCTAAGGGTCCAGAATAAAACTTCTAAATGGACTCAACTAAATGTATGATTTAAATTTTAAAATTGTGTGTGTATGTATATGAATTTCTCTACCATTGCATATGGTATACAATCATTTTTAGCTTAAGCTTTAGAAATCAACGTCGTTAAGGTAGCGTTTGAAATTAGCCAAGCAATTGACCGTCAACCATTGCTCGGCTATAACCTTCAGTTCCTCATCCAGACGCGGGAAATTGGCCGCATTTTTGGCTGAGTGATTGAGTTTTTTCAGTGCGCGAAACATCTGCGGAAAGTGGAACATAAGTTGATGGTCATGGGAGGACTTAAAGATGGGGACATACCTCCGCTGAGTTGGTGGATATTTGTTTGGCTATGGCCAAAGCCTCATCATTCACGCTGCGGGCCTTGCAGATCTTGTTAACGAAACTTTGTGGCCCCAAAAGTTCCGGTGCAAACAGTCTTTCACCCAGCAGAAACAAACGTAAATGCTACGGGGGAAAAAATATGAAATTTAGGAAGACTAACTTAACAGACGAAATTAAGTATTTTACCACTTCGCTGGACACCTTTTCGTGGCCATGCCACAGAGCATAGCCCTCGGGTAGCTGTCCCAGTTTGGCGTAATTAGCCTCAAAGCAACAATCATCGGCGGCTACCACGTAGTCGGCAAAGGGCAGCTGCATAACGCCCAGATTGATCAGGTTGCCAACAATGCCCGCCACCAAGGGTTTCGGAAATGTGGCCAAAGTGCGTAGATAGGTTCTGAAAATAAGTATGTAACTGAGTTATAGTTTTGTCACCGTCAAATTAAGTAAGTGTTACGCACTTCAGAGCCAAGGACAGTTGACTGACACTGTTTCGTCGCTTCTCCAGCGATCCCTGCACCAATTCCTGGCAGTCAATGCCCTGACAGAACTGCTGACCCTCCACGGTTACCAGCACTGTGTTGTACTCGCTCTTGCGGGCCACACTGGCCAGCGTATCGCTCAGCTGCTCCAGCAGTTGGCTACTGTACGTGTGGCCGGATTTGCCGCGGTGCGTATGTATCACCAGGTGGGCCACCTTGTCCACCTTGTGCAAGACCACCAGTTGCTTTTCGCTGTTGGCCTTCATATCGTTGGCCAGCGTGTGAGAGGCGACGACAGCGGACGGCTCGCCGCCCCTTTGATTCGCTTTGTTGACGGGCTTGAGGAACTTAAAGGATGGATCAGAGCCCTCGGCAGCATCATCCGATAGATTAGCTGTTCCGGGCTTGTTGTCCAGCGAATTGCGGCTAACGGAGGCATTGCTGGAGTAGGAGCTATTGGAGCGCCGTCGCATGATCATGGACTCCTCGCTGGCGCGCTGCTTGTACACATAATCCCAGGAGTCGGAGGCGCGGGGCTTGCTGACGGAGGAGGTCGCAGTTGACTTGGTGAAAACGGAGTCGGCTGCACCAGGCGTTCGCTTGGCGGAGGGATGTGCTGAATCCTTTTTGGCCGGCGATGGCTCCACTGCAGCTCGTTGTGTCTGGTTCTGGAATTGGGTATAATATGGACGTCACAATCGGCAGATTCTTGGAGTATACAGAGTTTGGTAACTCACCCTTCCGGTTATGGTCATGGATCGCTTGCGCATCAGCGGCTTATTGGACATCTCCCCGCCGCTCATCTCCCGCTGCTCATGCTCCACCGCATGGATCATGTTGGCCGCTCCCTCGTCGCCCATCAGGCGATCGATCTCAGAAACCTTCTTCTTTTTCTGGATTCCGCCGTTGGCCAGGCCAGTGTTAGGGGTTTGCGAGCGACGCTTGACCGGTGAGGGACCTCTCTCTGCTGCTCCAATTGGTGTGCCAGCTTTAGTGGTCCGGGCGGTGGGCGTTGCTGCTCGCTTCTTGGGTGCCACCTCCTTCTTCATCGTTGTGTTCGGCGAGATGCTCTTGACTGTCGCTTTCGGTGCAGGAGGTGCCGGAGGTGCCGGGGAAGACGCCTTGACCGCTGCCTTCGTGCTGGCATACTGCGCAAAGGACGTTTTAGTCTCGGGCACATCCGGATCCCAGATGATCTTCTTTCTTATTACACGCATGCGCTTGAAGCCTATAAATAGAGTTTGTTAAGTTTGTTACTGGCTGCAGTTTCTGGTTTAACTGTACCAGTGGTAGGCTCTTCGGTTTCCTTGGCAGGTGACACGATGGCGGCTGGCTTGGGTTTCTCCACAGGTGGACTGGTTGAGGCCGCCAGTTGCTTTTGGCTAACCGTCTTCAACATTACTTTAACCCCGCTGATCTTGTTGGAGAGCAAAATCGGTGAGTTCGGGCTGGATTTGCTAGGGGATGGAACCTTCTTCAGGGGCAAAGGCGGCTTTTTGGACACCACCTGCGTTGGAAGCAGTGTTATCACTTCCTTCTTCTCCTCCTCGGAGTCATAGTCATCCCAATCGTCATTTAGTGAGCTGACTATATCTACCGGTTTGACCACAGGCGGCGGTTCCTTGCGACGCGACTTGTTCTTCAGGCCGGCCATCTGCTCCAGAGCCACGGCTCTTGCCTGCTCCGGGGACAGTCTTTGCTTGGGAATAGTGGTCTTAGAGGTGGTGGATGGTGAAGGTTTGCTGGGCTTGTGCACTGGCACCTTGGGACTGGGCTTGCGGACGGATGAGTCCCCCTCGTCGTCGTCGATCTCCATAATCTCGAACTGGCCTTCGCCTTCGATGGTGACACCCACGTCCACGTCCCCTTCCACACCGTCCATCTCGGAGAGAGCCTTTTCCAAGGCGCACTTCTCGTCGCCGGAGGTTTGCTCATGACTGGTGTCCGTGCCCTTGAGCAGGGCAATCAGATCCACCTCCTCCAGGGGCGACTCACTGACTTGACCATTGCCCGAGGAATCATGGCCCTCTTCCACGAGTGGGGAGCCACTGGTCATGTCTTCACCTGTCAGGCGAGTCTCCAAACCACCATTATCCGCTCCGCCACTCGGAGGGACGAAATCTGCAGCCTCAGACGCCGCATCCGGTGGTCGAATGTGGTGTAGCTTTGCTATCTCCTGTTCCAACGAGCTTAGTTCGTCCAGGCCGGCGCCCCCATCCGAGCCATTGAGATTGGCCAGCTCATCCTCCAAATCAGCGGGACCCGCACATTTTTCAAGTGCTTCCAACGCCGCTGTTTTGGGTTCTAGGGTGTCAGTTTTCTCCACCTCTGGAGGAGGTTCTTCTGTTTTGATTGGCTGCGGCATTCGCAGTTCGCTGTCCGTCACCTGCTCCATGATGCCTCTGCCCTCTGATGGCTTTCGGATTAAGACGAGCTCCAATTTAGGGCCTTTCGTGCTCGATTCGGTCGGATTAATAATACTAAAAAAAGTGCACTTGCTGCAAAGCGGCCATTTTTTAGTGGTGCGCAGGTCAGGCCAAGGGTCTATCGATAGGCGTATGACTATCGAAATTAGCAAAACAGCTATTTCGAAATTGTCAAATATATAAATTATATTATGTACATGTTACAACAGATTCTGAATATTTCTACATTCAAAACAATGGTTAGCAAGAACTATTCATAAGCACATTAAAATTTACTGTTTCTAGCATTCTTATTATTGTAACGATTCAATTAGTAAATAACATAAAATAAATTAGACATTTTCAACAATATTTCGCCAACACACAAAAATATCGTAAGAGAGTAGTAGCGGTTAAACAAAATATATCTCCGATCTAATGTAGTAGTAATTAACCGAAAATTGTTTACATTGTCAATCAGCACCTATTTTTGCGTATATCAAAATTGAATTAAATTTAAAAATAATTATTTAAATAATATTAAAATAAAAATACGCAGGATAGAAGTGTATCGTTCTGAAAACTAATATTAGTATAATGTCTTACTAAATTACTTTTACTAACAATTAATTTTTTTGTTTTTCACAAAGTTAAATCAACCTGAAAATTTGTTTGCCGCCAATTAGTCCGGGGTGACCAGTAATTCGTATGTTATTCGAATAAACTGAGCTGCGGTCACACTGCACTGGTATTTGCACGCGTCGCCTGGTCACACCGGTCCGAAAACACAACCCCCCGCTCACCCCCCTTTCGAATACTTGATGGAAAAAAGTCTCATCTGAAGCAAGGATTCGCGCAAGGATAGCGCCAAAAAAGGCAACTGATAATTGATCCAACCCTCGGCGGCGGTCAGTGCGAGTGCACAGAGTATCCGCAAACCCGTGGGCACGCAGTCCAATCCCGGCAAGCGGCAAAATCCGGATAGAGCAGGGGCAAAAGCGAAACGAGCGTCGAATACAGAACTTCGCAGGCAGGGGGCAGCAGGATGTGGGACTCGTCCATGTTTCTCAGCACGCTGACGCCCAAGTTCTACGTGGCGCTGACTGGTACCTCCAGCCTTATCTCGGGCCTGATCCTGATCTTCGAGTGGTGGTACTTTCGCAAGTATGGGACTTCGTTTATAGGTGAGTAGTGGGGCTTCCCTTCCCTTTCCCCTGGTAACTCCATTTGAAATGCTGCTTCCCGTCCCGCAGAGCAAGTCTCCATCAACCACATCAGTCCCTGGATCAACGGCAGCGATGGCCAGTCGGAGTCGAGCAATGGCAGCGGCAGCAGCAGCAGCAGTGGCTCCAGCAGCAGCAGCAATGGCGGAGCAGGGGGTGGAGGATCAGGAGGAGCAGGTGCATCGGCCGGTGGCAGTGCCACCACCAGTACGGGCACCCAAATGCCCGAGTGCAAGGTCTGGCGCAATCCCCTCAATCTGTTTCGCGGCGCCGAGTACCAGCGCTTCTTCTGGGCCACCAGCAAGGAGCCGTTGACGTACTACGACATGAATCTGAGTGCCCAGGACCATCAGACCTTCTTCACCTGCGAGGGCGATGCCCGCAAGGAGGAGTACGAGATCATGCAGACGGCTTGGCGTGAACGCAATCCCATGCAACGGATCAAGTCCGCCCACAGTGCGCTGGAAATCAATGCGGAATGTGCGCCAGCTTACATACTCCTGGCCGAAGAGGAGGCCATGACCATTATGGAGGCGGAGAAGATCCTGAAGACGGCATTAAAGGTGGCCGAGATCAACTACCGCAAGTCGCAGGCCACACAGCACCAGGGCGCCATAGCGGATGGGATGCATCGACGGGACACCAATGTGCTGATCTACATCAAGCGACGGCTGGCCATGTGCGCCCGCAAGCTGGGCAAACTAAAGGAGGCGGCCAAGATGTTTCGCGATCTTACCAAGGAGATACCATCGATCATGAGTGTGCTGAACATACACGAGAACCTGATCGAGACGCTGCTGGAGATGCAGGCCTATGCCGATTGCCATGCCATTCTGGCCAAGTACGACGACATCTCGTTGCCCAAGTCGGCGACCATTTGCTATACGGCCGCTCTGCTGAAGGCGCGTGCCGTGGCCGATAAGTTCTCGCCGGACATAGCCTCCAAGCGAGGCCTCAGTCCCGCGGAGATGAGCGCCGTGGAGGCCATCCATCGGGCGGTGGAGTTCAATCCGCATGTGCCCAAGTATCTGCTGGAGACAAAGCGGCTGATCCTGCCGCCGGAGCACATTTTGAAGCGCGGCGACTCGGAGGCCCTGGCCTATGCGTTCTTCCATCTGAAGCACTGGAAACAGGTGGAGGGGGCCCTCAATCTGTTGCACTGCACCTGGGAGGGCACGTTTCGCATGCTGCCGTATCCGCTGGAGCGCGGCCATCTCTTCTATCCATATCCCACGTGCACCGAGTGCGCCGATCGTGAGTTGCTGCCGGCATTCCACGAGGTGTCCGTTTATCCCAAAAAGGAGCTGCCCTTCTTCATTCTGTTCACGGCGGGACTGTGCTCCATAACCGCCCTGCTGGCCCTGGCCACCCATCAGTATCCGGAGCCGATGGGCCATTTGGCACAGACCGTACTTACCTGGATCTCGTATCCGTTTCAGTTGCTCAAGGAGCGCATCGAGGCGTTCTGGCCGTGCAATCTGCTGCAGCAGTTGTCGCGCGTCTAAGCTGGTGGACACATGCTCCTCCACTTTCCATCCTCGAATGACGTCACACACACTCACACAAATCAAGAAACACCACACACACTCACACTCACACGCATCCATTTCCATCTGGTTGAGAAACACCAGCGGGCAACATGCCCCGAAACCACTCAAAACACAAACCCTTAATACATAACGCATATATATATATATATATAAATACATATATATATTTTGGATCTTAATATGTCTGTGTTGTCTTCGTGAAATAAACAAATAAACATAAACAAAGCAAAAGAAAAGAAACGAAAAGAAAGCAAACACGCACACAACTAAATAGTTCCAGCTTCCAAGTGATCCGGATGAACGAAACGAATTTGCAGCAGCCACGCAAGAGGAAACTAAATTATTCTTAAGTTTTATTATTATTTTAATTATTGTAAACAAGAACGAGAAGCGAGTAAACTAAAATGCAGAAATTATCATTCATTTCTCTTTATTTATTTAGTTAAAAGTTTTTTATTTAAGTATGTTTTTAGTTTTGTTCTCAAGGGTTTAAAAGTTCGTCCAGTTTATTTCTTTGAAAAATATTTAATTTAATTTCTTGTAACCAAGGGCTCCACGTAATTTCATTATCGATAATGATTGGGTCTTAACAAAAATTTAAGCTTTTACCTACTATTGTTTAAAAATGGGGAAATCCCTATTATTTTTTTTTAGAAAAGCCCAATACGTAAATTATTTGCCAATCAAAATCGATAGTTTTGCGCAAATTATTAAAATTTTTCTTTGAAAGTCACCAAATTCGAAGTCCAGGCAAAATGAGTCACACCATCTCATTTGCCAACCGGATAAATTACTCATTTTTTGTTTGCAGCTCAAAAATTAAAATCATTGTATAGTTTGTTAATATCATTATTTATTGTGTTGATTTCATCAATTTCAATTTGTGCTCATAAACAAATATTTATCACATACATTGTAATTTTGTGTTTACATTTAGTTACGTTTATATAAGGAATTTAAAAAAGTATATATTTATATATATATATAAGTGTATAAAAAAGGCTGTGCATTCTAATTGTGCACTGTTAGTTACATTCTGTTCTCACAATAAGGCACCAATAATCACACATGGCTCGATGGCTCAACGTTTACAAAGGACAAATGCTAAAGTAGCCGACACAAGTGGCGCACTTCTGGAGGAGTCCGGTGTACGAGTTTGGGTTGAGGGACAGGAAGTACCGCCTGACTGCTGCGAGGATGGCTCCGGTGTGCTCCGCCACAGATTCACTGGACATGTCACGGTAGTTGTTCATCACTTGCTGCAGAATGCTAGAAAGCACCGATTCCGTCGGGATGAAGAACTTAAGCACCGACGTCAGTTCATCCAGCATGGTGTCCATGAAGGTTCGAGTCAACCTCATTATAAAATCAAACACATCCGGCTCCAGATTCGCGGCCATTTTGATAATGTGATTTGCAAAGCTCTCGGCATTGACCACGTGCTCGAAGAGGGCTGTGCCGTATTGCCTCAGCACAACAGTCACCCCTCTTATTACCACTGAGCTCAGCTGCAAGCAGTACACGCCGGCGGCATAAGTGCTGGGCTCCTGACGCGGCTGCGATGTAGGGCCAATCAGAAAGTGAGCCTCGTTTTCTTGATCATTGAACTGCGAGGGCATCTCGTTCGCGCTGCGTATAATGTCCATCTTGCCTTGAGAGTTTCCCTGAAGTCGAAAGGTCTCCTTGGATATCTTGTCGAAGGTGCGTCTGCAAGGAAAGAATTATAAGTAACGCCTAGAGGATTCATCTCTGACTAATTATCTAGTCTCTATTTACCTCATGCGACTACTCAGTGTGTCCCGGTAGCCCGCTACGTTCCTGTGGGGCGACTGATTGATGATGGTCGAGGCCAGTTTGAAATTGTAAACGCTGTGCGTTAGTAGAACCAGCGAAGCGGACAGCTGCAGCACATCCATGCCGGTAATGTCGTCACCATCCTGCACTTTCTGTGGGGTAGCATAGATTATCAAATTGGTGGAGTCAGAGAGCTCCATATGGTTTACCAATATCATATCCAATACCCCGTTGGCGACTCCAGTCCCCGACACTACGATCGAGGAGATGTTCATGCCATTCACCGTCAGTTGAGTGATCTAGAAAACAGTTCCAAGAACTATTAAAGACAACAGTGCATTGTGTCTCTGGAGACTCACCGCTCCCACTTCGCGTCCAGCGTTCGTGGCCGCTGTCAGAGCAGTGGTGGCTCCTGCCGCTCCCAATCCCACGGCTCCGGCGATCACTCCCAGCCAATGGCCACGTGCCTCGCGGTCCGTCACGTTGATCGACTGCTCGTGCTGACTGCGGTCCACCAACCTTACGCTGGACCGGGCTGTAGCGTACCCGGCGCTGGCCAAACCAACGACTCCGGCTGCGGCCATCACTGGACCGGACACAGGCAGCGTTAAGAGAGCCGCTAAGGGGACAGAGGCGGCTAAGAAGCCTCCAACTGCCGATCCTGTGTCCAGAACTTTAAGCACCTTCTTTTCGGTGCTGCCCGCCGGCGTCACATATTTGTCCAGTCGCACATGGTCATTGACCAGGCGGTAGATTCCCTTTTCCGGGGCCACCATCACTCCGGCGGGCAGCTCATTGGTGGCCACATATTGCTCCCAGTTCTGGTAGACGCGACCGGTCTCATCAACGAACAAATTGCAGCAATCGGCGCTGTTGTTGCTGCGGCCAGCTGTAGGGAAAATAAACGAATAAGTAAGCATTTTTCACTTAAGGGTCATGGACATCAAGTGGTTTTAACTATAACTTTTAACGATAACCTAAAGTATTGATTATTATCACCACCGAATAAAGAAATAAGAACGACCAGAAAAAGTAGTCTGTCTTATTTTTTGTTAGACAATTTATGTAGTTTGCCATAGCTGCTTAAAAGATTTAATTCAATTTCTGCTGGAAGGATTGTTCTAATAAAAGCAATTTTTGTTATCTTTGACGCGCTGTTTTCTCAATTCAGCAGATTTTGGAATTCATGTATGTATGTTTGCGTAAAGATAAACTACTTTGAGTACAATAGAGACAAGCTTTGTTTTATTAATTATTATTTCTGCAGAAACTTACTGACGCATCGACGGGCCCGGAAGACTGGATGGCAGGAGAAAGTCCTTGAGTCCTCGGCGCGATTAACGTCTTTCTCCCCAGTAACCACCATTACGTAGATGATGGCCGTCAGCGATTGTCGGTTGGTGTATTTACCTAAAGAGGAATCAAAGGCCTTATGCAATCAAACTTTGTAATCTGGATCCATGCTTACGCTGCTCCCAAACGGCATCGTAAATTATCTGTCGTGCTTTTTCATTATCGGCGATAAGCTTTCTACGGTTTTTTTCATTTTTTGTAATATCAGCCGGAGTTTTAGTGGCCAATTCTGAATTGGTAGGTGGTGGCGGATCACGAATGAGTTCCTTTAGCTTTTTCTTCAGTATGTCGGCTTGTCCATGGGACAACCTGAAAGGTGATCGGGAAATGTAATGTTTCGGGACGAAAAGCCAATTGCGCAGTAGTTACAAATCCCAGATAATCTCCTCCGCGTATCCAAGGGATTCAGCAAAGTTTTGCTGCACCTCACGGGCGGTTCGGTTGGCCACGTGGTTTTCTTCAGCCTCTGCCATGTTAAATCTACCAATTTTAGCCTCTTCGCCGTCGCAACTTCACAAGTAATGATGATTTTACCGGGAAATCACCAACTTATATGCGCACACATCCTCTTACTCATCCCATGATCGCACTCAAAATACCAAAACGCCAAGCGAGAGAAAGTGAACATTTTTGCCAAACTCTCGAGTGGTCTTACTTTTCTGGCGGAAATTCAGTTTTCCTCTACTTTCGTTCTTTCTTCCCATTTTTCACCTTGTTGGGTCTTCCGAGTTGGTGAAAATGACTAACATATTGGTTTCACCCTTTTTTTTTCCTCAAAAATAGGCGAAAAGGCCATAAAACATCGATAGCCCATTAATTTTTATTTACAGACGCATAGGGCTGCCAGACTATGCACTTTATTTTAATAGCCGGATTCCACTTTCAAACTTTAAGTTAAAACTTAATCACTTTGATTAAAATATGCTTATCTACATTAACGTATTTTTGATAAAAGAAATATTATTATTACCAAATTATTTCTGGTTCGATTTGTTAATGAAAATATTTTGCTCACAATAATCTCTGTTAGGTATTAAGGAACTGAAATATGTTTATTTGTATTTATTTTCTAATTAGCTTGATACCACTAAATTAAATTTTGTATTATATTCGCAAATATTCTAATAAAACAAGATAGCATAATGCTTCCGCATATGCAAGATATAATGATGTTCCTTTTTACATGTTTCTACAACCTTAGTTGGCAGAGCGAATTTGAAATATACATCAGTGATTATATTTAAAAGAAATGTAATAAAAATGTGCTTGTTCTTACTTTTTTTTTCCTTATCTAGATACTTGTAAAAATATGTATCTTTATCCAAGATCCAAAAATCTAGTACCTTTCCCAACACTGAATATTATTATTATTAATCGAAAATAAAAATCGACCTCAAAACTCGATTAGTTCATCAGAAAATAAAAATGGAATGTAAAGAAAAAAAATTTTTAAGTTTTTTTGTTTATGAATCCTGGAACTATTTTTTTTAATAATTTAATTAAAAATGTTTGATTAATTTGCTTTAAAATACATACAGAAAATCTCGTATTTTAAAGAGCAGTTTCGAATAAAACGAGCTTGTATTCCCTAACTTCGGCTTGCCAAAGTAAAATATCTTTCTTCCAATATTTTATTTTAATTTGAAATTATAACACTTAAATTATGTTATCTTCTCCAAAAGATAATTATATCATAACATTACTTTGTTTTTGTAATGGTAAATTTGTGTTCAAATTTTATTTAAATATCTAGAATTTGTTGTTTCAAAACAACTTTTTTAAGTTGTGCATCATTATTGTGTACAGATAGTCAAGATTTGCTTTCACAACTAAGGCACCAATAATCTTGTTTTAATGTCTTTTAAATCCCAATAAATTTAAGTAAGAGATTTATATGTTTACAAATGTGAAATGCTGAAGTAGCCGACACAAGTGTGGCACTTCTGGACAACATCGGTGTACGAGTTCGGGTTGAGGGACAGGAAGTACCGCCTGACTGCTGCGAGGATGGCTCCGGTGTGCTCCTCCACCAATTTACAAGGCAGATGGCGATAGTTCTCCAACACTTGCAGCAGAATGCTAGAAAGCACCGATTCCGTCGGGATGAAGAACTTAAGCACCGACGTCAGTTCATCCAGCATGGTGTCCATGAAGGTTCGTGTCAGATTCATGATGAAATCAAACACATCCGGCTCCAGATTCGCGGCCATTTTGATAATGTGATTTGCAAAGCTCTCGGCATTGACCACGTGCTCGAAGAGGGCTGTGCCGTATTGCCTCAGCACAACAGTCACCCCTCTTATTACCACTGAGCTCAGCTGCAAGCAGTACACGCCGGCGGCATAAGTGCTGGGCTCCTGACGCGGCTGCGATGTAGGGCCAATCAGAAAGTGAGCCTCGTTTTCTTGATCATTGAACTGCGAGGGCATCTGGTTCGCGCTGCGTATAATGTCCATCTTGCCTTGAGAGTTTCCCAGAAGTCGAAAGGTCTCCTTGGATATCTTGTCGAAGGTGCGTCTGCAAGAAAAGAATTGTAAGTAACGCCTAGAGGATTCATCTCTGACTAATTATCTAGTCTCTATTTACCTCATGCGACTACTCAGTGTGTCCCGGTAGCCCGCTACGTTCCTGTGGGGCGACTGATTGATGATGGTCGAGGCCAGTTTGAAATTGTAAACGCTATGCGTGAACAGCACCAGCGAAGCGGACAGCTGCAGCACATCCATGCCGGTAATGTCGTCACCATCCTGCACTTTCTGTGGGGCAGCATAGATTATCAAATTGGTGGAGGAGTCAGAGAGCTCCATATGGTTTACCAATATCATATCCAATACCCCGTTGGCGACTCCAGTCCCCGACACTACGATCGAGGAGATGTTCATGCCATTCACCGTCAGTTGAGTGATCTAGAAAACAGTTCCAAGAACTATTAAAGACAACAGTGCATTGTGTCTCTGGAGACTCACCGCTCCCACTTCGCGTCCAGCGTTCGTGGCCGCTGTCAAAGCAGTGGTGGCTCCTGCCGCTCCCAATCCCACGGCTCCGGCGATCACTCCCAGCCAATGGCCACGTGCCTCGCGGTCCGTCACGTTGATCGACTGCTCGTGCTGACTGCGGTCCACCAACCTTACGCTGGACCGGGCTGTCGCGTACCCGGCGCTGGCCAAACCCACGACTCCGGCTGCGGCCATCACTGGACCGGACACAGGCAGCGTCAGCAACGCCGCTACGGGCACGCAGGCAGCTAAGAAGCCTCCAACTGCCGATCCTGTGTCCAGAACTTCAAGCACCTTCGAGTTGGTGCTGCCCGCCGGCGTCTCATATTTGTCCAGTCGCACATGGTCTTTGACCAGGCGGTAGATTCCCTTTTCCGGGGCCACCATCACTCCGGCGGGCAGCTCATTGGTGGCCACATATTGCTCCCAGTTCTGGTAGACGCGACCGGTCTCATCGATGAATAAATTGCAGCAATCGGCGCTGTTGTTGCTGCGGCCACTGCTTCCAGCTATGGAAAAAAAGGTCGCATTAGTGGCAAAGATTAAACATTATAAAAGTTTGTAATTTTTTTTGTTCGTAATTTCTATTACGGATGCATTTTGAATGGAATCAAAATCGGACGAGAATATCATGTTCTGAAGCAAACATCACAATTTGAGATCTCTTAACAAGTCGTTCAGAACTTTAAAAGTAAATACATTAATTGTGACGATTAAAAAACTACCATTAAATCGAATTGCTTAAAGATAAAATCGACAGAACAAAATAATTTCGAACTTTTCAGCTCTGAATAAAAATAAATTACGCGGATTGCGGATTCCCCATGCTGAATGTTACTCCTGCAGAGACTTACTGACGCATCGACGGGCCCGGAAGACTGGATGGCAGGAGAAAGTCCTTGAGTCCTCGGCGCGATTAACGTCTTTCTCCCCAGTAACCACCATTACGTAGATGATGGCCGTCAGCGATTGTCGGTTGGTGTATTTACCTAAAGAGGAATCAAAGGCCTTATGCAATCAAACTTTGTAATCTGGATCCATGCTTACGCTGCTCCCAAACGGCATCAAAAATGATCTGTCGGGCTTTTTTATTATCCGCGATGAGCTTATTGCGGTTTTTGTTATATTTTTCAATATAAGCCGGAGTTTTACCGGCTAATGCTGTTTCGTCGATCGGATCACGAATCAATTCAATTAGCTTTTTCTTTAGCAAGTCAGCTTCTTCCTGGGACAACCTGATCCGAAATTGTTAGTTTATGGGCCGGAAAGCCAATTGCGCAGTACTTACAGGTCCCAAATGATCTCCTCCGCGTAACCAAGAGATTCTGCAAAGTTTTGCTGCACTTCACGTACGGTTCTATTGGCCATTCGAATTTCTTCAGCCTGTTTCATGTCGAATTTTCTTACTTTAACTTCTTCGACTCCACAGTTAACAAGCTAATGAAGTTTTTTTCGGGAATTCACCAACATATCTGAGCAGACTAGAGATGTCAAAGCATCGATAGCAACATAGTATCGATAGTTTATAAATTATGCAAAAACGACTGCCGAATGCAAACGATAATACACGATTCCCACAGGTCACATCATAGTGACAGATCGGATTTCCACCACCCAAAAACGGTAAATGTCATGGAATAACGAATGAAAATTACTTCAATTTTTTTAAAATAACTTACATCTTTGCTGTATACAAATTTCTGCCGGAAGGACCGCTAACCCCCAAAACGACTATGCCCCTGGTCAAACGGTTTTTTTTTTAAAGCTGGATTTACCTGACACGTTTTTAGCATAGATTAAGTGATATGAAGTCTGGGTCAACAAAAGATGTACAAATCAAAATATTCGTTATATATGGACATATGTGAACTAGTTTTATCGAGTACTGCAATGTAAATAAAAAAATATTTAAAGCTTAGTATGTGATTATCATAAGTGAACAATATTTATTAGATTATAAATTGAGAATTCACTAGAAAATCAGGGGTCAAAAGAATTTTTCTGTGTACAATTACCTTGCCTGGCAGCCCCATGAAATACGAGTTGCCACCTGCCTATCGATAGTACGAATATCGAACTGGCTCCGGTTCCAGATCCACCAATCGGTTCCAGCACGAGCCAAACAACCCTACGTGTCAGTCTCATGCGTCGGTGTAAATACAAAGTTTTTTTTAAATTCGCGGCGTCCAATTCTCGCTTAATCTCGCAGCAGCAACAGCTCTTGCCCCGCCCCCTTGACCGCTTCGCCCCCGCAGCGCCGTCCGTTGATCGAAAGTTAACGGGGAGCAGCGACTAAAACGATAACTCCACTGCGACATCAGCTGGAGCTGCCGGAGGAAAAGTGCAAGGGAAAGCGGAAAGGAAAGCCAGACAAAATACTTAATATATATAAAAGTCGCAATCGGAGATGGCGGGTCAAAAGTTCCAGTACGATGAGAGCGGCGGAACTTTCTACTACTTTGTGTTATCTTTCCTGGCGCTAATATTGATACCGACCACCATTTACTATTGGCCACGTAAAAAGAAAGAAGGTTAGTGCCGAATGCCCCGCCGATTTTAATCGCACTCTCTTCGCTCTTATTTTTTTTTTCGTTCCACCTGCAGCTGTGCGCGGGTGTGTGTGTGTGTGTGTGTGTGTGTGTGTCTAGTAAGACAAACCCCTCTCCTCTCACTTGCTCTTCCGCATTGCAAATGGACACGTTCCAATAAGTTATTCTAACAACGTCAGCTCAGCGTCTTCGTATGGGTGAAAGCTGCGATTACCGCAAGTCGGGCTCTCTCTTCACTTCCCAATTGGAACAGCTCTGCACTCCACGAGCGTTCATGCGTTGTAAATCGCGATAACGCGACATTGTCACCGTGATCGATGGTGATCAAAAAAAAAGTTATCTTTGATCTTGAAACGTCTGAACTTTGCACTCACAACTTTGTAATCTCTCTTACTATTCTCTCTTCCTCTCGCGATATTTCTGTAATGCTGGCATTTCCGGTTTAAAATATTGCACCGGCTCAAAATAATAGTTTAATCTTATTTAATCTTAGAACACAAATACATAAGGTATTTAGGTTAGTGCATTCCTTAGTTCTAGAAAACAGTCGTCTTTTTGGAAAAAGAACTTAACATCTGGTTAAAATTATAAAACGAATTCAAATAATCCTACCAAAATCAAATAATTATAAACAAAAAGTATGTGCCTTTATATTAAAATGTATGCAACCAACAGTCCAATACAGTAATCTGATTGGAACAAATGACGATGAAAATCCCTAAATGACCCTTAATAAATATAGGTTTCAAATCACATCGTTTTTAAACATCTATTCGTATGTTCTCCTGCAGATCAAGGCAAGCTAAAGGAGGAATGTCAGTGCGCCGACTGCCTCAAAAAGAAGACCATCTTGGCCAATGCCGAGCCGTACAGAGCCCTGACCTCATGGACCATCAAGCTGACCATTGTGCTGGGCTGGGCCCTGCTGCTCTTGCTGACGTACCGCGTCTCGCAGTTCGACTACGAGATGGCCAGCTTCGATCCGTTCGAGATCTTGAATGTGCCGCCGACCTCGTCGCAGGCGGAGATCAAGAAGGCCTACTATCGGCTGTCCAAGGTGCTGCATCCGGACAAGGAGACGGGTGACGAGAAGTCCTTTATGATGCTGAGCAAGGCGTACCAGGCACTGACCGACGATGTGGCCAAGGAGAACTACGAGAAGTATGGCAATCCGGATGGTCCGGGTGCCATGTCCTTTGGCATCGCTCTGCCCTCGTGGATCGTGGAGAAGGAGAACAGCGTTTGGGTATTGGGCCTGTATGGGTTGGTCTTCATGGTGGCCATGCCCTCGGCGGTGGGCGTTTGGTGGTACCGTTCCATACGCTTCAGCGGCGACAAGGTCCTCCTGGACACCACCCAAATGTACTTCTATTTTATCCACAAGACGCCGCACATGCTGCTCAAACGGGCCCTAATGGTTCTGGCTGCCAGTTTGGAGTTTGACAAACGCCACAATTCGCAGGTGCAGGAACGGCAGTCGGACAACGACGAGGTGCCAGCGGTGAGTGGATGCCTCCATTCCTCCTCCACTGAGTAGTGACTAATAGTAATTCTCCTCCCCAAAAAACACACAGCTCATCCGGCAGCTACCGAATTTGAATGAGAAATGCAAGGAGCATCCATTGTGCCGCATGTACTCCATCAAGGCACGCGCCATCCTGCATGCGCATCTCAGTCGCATGCCCCTCAATCCGGAGACACTGGAGCGTGACCGCCAGTTTGTGGTGAAGAAGTGTCCGTATCTGGTGCAGGAGATGGTCTCGTGCGTCCACCAACTGGTCATGATGGCCTATGCCCGCCGGGTGCCCCGCTTGCCCAGCATCGAGACGATTGAGAACTGCATGAAGATGTCGCCGATGATCATCCAGGGTCTGTGGGAGTTCAAGTCGCCGCTGCTGCAGCTGCCCCACCTCACCGAGGATCATCTGTACTTCATGAACAAGAAGCGGCACGTGAAGAACCTGCAGCAATTCGCCCAGCTAAAGCCGGAGGAGAGCCGCCAGCTGTTGAAGAATCTCTCGGACTTTGAGTACGAGAACACCATGAAGGTGTTGGGCAAGATGCCGCTGATCGACTTCGCCATCCGTTGCGAGGTCATTGACGACGAGAACACCAATGTGGTGACCGCCGGTGCCATAGTCACCGTTACGGTCACGCTGGAGCGCAAGGACATGAAGACGCTGTTCGGTGACACCAAGGCGCCCGAAAAGCAGGGCATCAAGGACGAGACCAACGAGGAGGCTGCCGGCGATGACGATGAATCGGCGGCCGCCGCTGTGCCCGCAAAGAAGGCATCCGCTTGGGCAAAACCACGCAAGGGGGGCAAGGGTAAGGGTGGCAAGAAAGTGGCCCAAAACCAGAAGAACAACCAGAAGAAGGTGCCCGCCAAGGTGGCGGCCACGTCAGCAACGTCAACGACCGCCGAGGATCAAGCAGCGGCGGGCAACTCGGATGCCGAATCGGAGGCCGGAAACGGGGAGGGCAGCGACATGGAGTCGGCTGCCGGCAGTGGCAGCGAGGACGAGGAGAAGGGCAAGAACAACTCTTCGCTGGACGACGACGACGACGAGGAGTGGGAGCGACTGCAGGCCAAGCTCAACAAGCGGGAGCGACTCGAGGGCAAGTCGCGTCTCTCGCACACCGTCCACTGCCCCTACTTCCCCGAGGAGAAGCAGGAGTACTGGTGGACCTACATCTGCGACCGCAAGTCGCGCACCCTCCTGACGGCGCCCTACCACGTCACCAATCTGGTCGAGAAGGAGGAGATCCAGCTGAAGTTCACCGCCCCACGTTGGCCCGGCGTCTACACCTTCACCGTGTGCCTCAGATCGGGTGAGTTTCTCTCAAAGGGATCACGTATAGCTAGTTTTTGAATTACATTTCTTTTTTTTTTTTTTAAGTTTAAAAATATAGACATTTTTCAAAAAATATAGTTTAACGTAAGCAGAAGCTTTTAAACCCCTGCAGTCAAGGAATGGATCCAATTGAAAAAAACGAGACATAATTTATGAAACAACCAAATTTATCAAGTTTTAAACGATCATTACTATGGCAGCTATAGGATAGTCAGGCAGTAAACAAGATTATTTGTAACATAATCAGAGTACAAAAAAGTTTAAGAATTTATATTTAACGCTGCGCCAAAATATCGGCATATGGTCAGTATGATAGATATGTGGCAGCTATAGGATATGGTCAATCAATTGTGATTAAAACTCAAAGAACTGGTTTTAAATACTAAAAAGAACATAATTTAAGTGCCCGATCTGCGGGGTTTTAATTATTCTAGTCATGTCTTGATAGTTAAGATATATCTGCTGCGACGGTTATTGATTGCGCTTTCTCCACCTTTCAGATTCATATCTGGGCATGGATCAGCAGCAGGAGCTAAAACTGGATGTGCAAAAGGCGCCTGCACCACCGACAGACCATCCCCAGTGGGATCTGAGCGAATCGGAGCCGGAGCACAACGATCAGCAGGAGAACCTGAGTGACTACACCACAGACACGTCCGACGAGGAGGACAGCGACTAGATGGCACAGACCGCCGGATCCACGGATGGACGGATGGATGGATGGATGGACGCCCCCAATCAACCTCAAACTCCTCCTCTCTATTTTTGTGTGTGTTGGACGGAAGAAAAACCACTTTGTTTTCCTTTTTTAGTAAATGAGTTTCGCGTGGCGGAGGAGGCACACCAATAATGCAATGCGACCCCTTCCTTCGCATTTTTACTAGTTTTGTAATGGAAAAGAAGACCCCGGACTAGTGCGTAAATAACTATAACTTCATTTTACCGTGTACTGTACTAAACATAATTATAATGTACTGTATATTTAATTATTTGGATACAAGAACTAAAAGTGAGACACGTAAATACAAAAGTCTATTGATATTATTACTCTTGTTGTGTGTGTGTGTGCTCAATTAATTGAAAATTATCATCGGGCTTGTTAGGGTTTTCCACACATATTTTAAATTGAATTTACTGAATTTACTTTCAACCAATTAAGTTGTTACTAAACATCACAATAATTTTAATCAGTACATGATGTATTTCATTTAAAATATATTTTGTTGTTAATTTTTTATCTGACGATCATTTCTACTTAACGATCTTGAAGCTCACAGATTTTTCAATTAGTATAACACCTTTGAAAATAATTTAATTATTCAGTTTTTTTTTTAATAATTCTAGACTGAAAGTGAATTTATTTTTAATAAAGTCTAAGAATGGGATATAAAATTAAATATATATTTAAAAAAAAAAAATCACAACACATTAAAAAAAATGGGTAAAAACCGTAACAAGCCCAAATGTCTTTAAAAATAATAATATTGAGTAAAAATTATAACGCTGCTGCCTCTGCCAACGTCGACGCCTACTGTGCAGCCGCTGCCCGTTCGCTGTCCAATAAGAGGTCCGATTGGGATTCTGACGAGGTGGGTGTCTTCACTGCTGCTGATGATATTGTAGTCGCTGTTAACTTCTTTTGTTGTTGATATTGTTGTTGTTGTTGTTGTGGGCAGACATTTGAAGGGCGAAATGAGTAAATTAAAAATTAGATTCACATAAAGCCTTAGTCTAGGGTTCGTTACCCGTCACCAGATTCGTTATTAGTGTTTTCTTGTTTCTATTTACAAAACTTTTCGGTATTATTTGGCTAAATGTGCGTTTTTATGTGCGAGTGTGTGTTTGGGTGCATTGGTGTTTGTGATGCGGATGTCAGTGTGTGGTTGTTGTTGTCGTTTTAATCGATTTTGGTAGTTAACGGTTATTCCTCTTCCTCGCTTTCTTCGGACGAATTTTCCTCTGCAGAATTACTACTCTCTACATCTTTGGGCGTGTCTTCTACTGACGTTCCTTCAGGTTTCTCATTCTCGGTGGTTTCTTTAGACACATCTTCGTCTTCTTTTTTTGAACTCTCCGATTCTTTGGTTTCTTCTGAATTTGGAGCAGTTTCCTCTTTGGGTTCAGTTTCTTCTTTGGATTCAGGTTCTACGTCTGTTTCTTCTTTGGTATTTTCCGCTTCAGTTTCTTCTTCTTTGATATTTTCCACCTCTTCTGGAGTAGTTTCTGCTTCTTTTTCCTTGACATTTTCTACTTCCGTTTCACCTTGGACATTTTCTTCTTTCGTTTCTTCTTGGACATCTTCTACTTCCGTTTCTTCTTTGGCAATATCTACTTCATTTTCCTCTTTGGTGTTTTCTTCTTCAGTTTTATCTGTGCTATTTTCTGTTTTTTCTTCGGTATTTTCTTTTTCGGGTTCTTTGTTTCCTAATTCGACTTCTTCTTTGGTGTTCTCTGCTTCGCTTTCTTCCTTGGCTTTTTCATCCTTTGATTTCTCACCAATCGGTTCTTTGGTTGTTTCTACATCAGTTTCGTCTTTATTATCATCTTTCTCTGATTTTTCTTCATCTTCTTCTTCGGCCTCATCTTCCTCCGATTCTTCTTTGGCATCACCTTCTTCGGTGCTCTCATCCTTACCATCTTTCGTACTTTCTCCCTCTGATTTTTCTTCGGTCTTGTCTCCCTCGGTTTTTTCTGTAGTACCTTCCTCCTCAGATTTTTCTTTGGTTTCATCTCCCTCGGTTTCTTCAGTTTTTTCTAATTCTTCATCAGTGTAAAAATCTTGATTAGAGCCTAAAGACATTCTTCTACCTTTACCTGTAGTTGTATCCTCCTTTTTGATATCCTCGGATTCTTCAACCTCTGCAGTCTCAGTCTTTTAGTGGGTGGTTGGTTTGTTGAGCGTGCGAATGTTTGTGGGTTTTTGATGGGTATTTTTTGTTTTTTTGGAGGGAATTGGAAATGTATATACAAGATCAGATCAGTGGGATTTCTACCTACATAAGCTGGTCTACTGAAGTGCAAGATCATGCCTTTGTTAGCTTCTGCGAGCTCTACAACTCTAGTGTTATGATTCGTACATGCAGGATCTAACGATCTATTACCTTTTCTTCAGTATTTTCCTTGCCCTCTTCATCCTCGCCTTCTGTTTTCTCCTTTTCTTCGCCGTCCTTGTCTTCGTTCTTTGAAGAATCACGCAATTATTAGCAAATAGTTTTATAAAGTTCGTTGTTTAAGGCATGTATAATACTCAAGAGAGTTTAGAATGTTATATTGTTGAAAAACTTATTTTTCATAAGCGCTTATTACCGATCTTTAAAAACTGTTTAATTTCGATATCTGTATGTTTAGTTTGCAGTGCATTTCTGTCGCTAGGCATCTCGCAAGTTAGTTTTTGCTATGCTGTTAAAGATTAGGTGTGTTATAAAAGTGTTAGAAAAACAAGCTGGCTGTTGGTTACGATTTTTTTTTTAGTTAATACAAATATATTTCCTTTTATTACAAGAGCAGCGCATTTTTATGTTTTAGCATTAACATAACGGCTGCACAAAAAGTTTCAGCTCTCTACACTAATCCAACTTAGGCTTAAGTGCTGGCGTGTATTCCGAGTCCATACAGGTGGTGTATAAATGGTACATACAAAGGTGTTGGATGTAAGTTAATGAATATAAATATTTTGATTAAAATTGTCTTTTCCTCTGGGGTTAACACAATCGATCGCCCCTGCTTATAATGCTCGTTAACTTAGCTTAAGAACCGCAGTCGTCATGATGAATTCGTTAAAAAATTAAACATAATTAGAAGAATAGACAAGTCGATTTTCGATTTCTAATGCTAATAAAGTTTGGGGAGTTGGATTTCATAAAAATTGTATATTTAAATACATTTTCAAAATTTCTCTGGATTTTCTAAAATATTTCCATCAGCGGAAATTATAACCAAAACATTAATTAATATTTGTAAACCCTGCATAAATTGAACAATGAATTTGAAACCACTTAAAAATGGTGAATTCCCACAAAAGTCCAATTTCGATTTCAACCATTCCATTTTCCCCAAACCTTATGGGCATAAAAACCAAAAAAATCAGGTGTTGTAAATATATAGATATAGAGAGTTGGTAGTGTCTGTGCTGTTAGATAACATTACGGGTTATTGCTGCTGTTAACTGAAGGGCTTTAGTTTCAAGACGTTGCTGTTAATTCTATTGCTGTTTGCTGCAGATGATCACTGCCTTCGATTGTGACGTCATAACAGTTAACGGAAAATACGTGAAAATAGCTGATGCTCAAACCTCGGCCTTCTCCGCATCGCCATCGCCGGCCTCCGACTTCTCCGCTTCCGCCTCCTCCTTCTTGGCCTCGCCGTTCTCCTGCTTCAGTTCGATTTGGGCGGTACTCACAGCCGTGGTGTCGGCGGGGGCCAGTTTGAGGAACACCTCCAGGGTGTCGATCTCGTTGGCCATGTCGAAGGCGTCGTAGTCACCGCAGTACTCCTCGTCGTTGAACAGCTGGGGAGGCAACGGATGCCGGGGCTCCGGATCGCTGACCGTTCCGCCGCTGCTAGTCGATTTGTTCTGCATCAGTTCCTTCTCGGACTCTTTGCCGGGCTCCGTGATGTCCACCGTGTCGTACTTGATGTTCTTGCTGTCCAGGATCATCAGCACGCGCTGCTGGCGCTTCTTTACCTACAAAAAAAAAAATGGGTGTCAGTTAAATTTTAATTTAAAGCTATTTATGATTAAAGAAAATATTTTTTAAAATTTTGATGTTTCTAAAGTAATAAAATTAACATTTTTCCCAAAAACTAATTTTAAATTTGTTTCAGTGTAACTTCCTTAAAAACTGTTAGTTAATACTGTTAACTACAGCGATGACATATCGGTAATAAAATTTTACCGGCAAGCCCAAACGCAAACAAGCACACCCACTTACACTCCTCCGCTATATAAACATACATACATACATATAAACAATGTCCCCCGATATGATAAAGCTCCTAATTAAAGTGGTTTGTTGCACACAACTAATTATCTTGCGATAGCCAGATTTCGTGCATACTTTTTTTTAGAAGTGTAAAGTAAAATAAAAACAAAAGCATTGTGACCCGCACAATGACCGTTATGTTTTTGTTCTTATTGGGAGAGACTTTGCCAATTGAACAAAGGCGACGGAAAAAACAAGGGAAAGGGGAAGAGCGAATGAGTCACACGCACACACACGCAGCCCACGCAACTGCGATCAATGGAAATCTCTCTCTTCCATGAACAATTTACAGTTCACAGTGGAATAAGCTTATATGGGCAATGAAATGTGTGTTTGTGCTGCTTCTTGCCACCACCAACGCTCGCAAGCACACTCGAGAAAATACCACTTGTTTTTCTTTGACTGTACATACAAACTTACATACCACACACTACATCATCATCATCATCGCACGCACATACAATACATACACAAAATGCAGCAGAATTAGAATTAGCAATGCATTCGTCACCACTTTGGGTTTGTTTTTTTCTCGTTTTATTTTGTTTGCTGCAAATAACAGGGCCAAACATTCCAATAACATGACACTATCTTCGGTCTTAAAAACGCCACGCCCACAAACTCACCTCCTTGTTGCCGGACATGCCGCTGACGTAGACTTTCAAGACCATTTTTGCAGTTAAATATGTCCTCCCAAAGTCAATTTATGGTACTTGCGACTAAAATCCGCTGGCTACTTTCACAGCGATTAAAAATATTTTTAGATCTTTTCTTTTCCTACTTTCTTCCGTCCAGCGCCCCTACGTAATGTTTTTTCACTGGTGACGAAGGCACACGAACTGGGCAACGTCGCTGATTTTTGGTTTTAAAAACTGCGAAGACGCGGATAAAAAAGTGCGATGTTGTCGCTTATAAAAGTGCAAAAATATTTGATATTTATCAAGAATGGAAATTATTTCCTACTTTGTCGTTGAACCGAATAGTGTGATCGCTGAACGACGGTTGCAAAATACCATCCGGCTAAGAAAATATACTACAAAAAACCATTTAAAAATACCGTAAAATAACCTGTGATAAAAGTAATTTTTATTAAATGTTTTTTGTTCATAAATACTTGTATATTTAACTTGCCTTTCAGTAAATCAGCTTTATATTTATTATGTCTAAAATTAAACCGCCAAGATAAATCAGTATTACTCTTTTTGGAACAACCTGTAACAACTATAAGCTCAGCCAGTTATATAGATATTTTAGTATTATAAGTAGTAAATATAAATATTTGTTATTGATATTAAAACGGTAGACTTATGGTATAATTTCAGTTCAATTAATAAGTATTTTTAAGGTTTTTTTTCGTGAGCAGCGCGGTTAATAAAAACGCTCCAGCTGTGGTCACACTGTTCACGTCGTCACGCACGCATCGTCGTCCATTTTTGCCAAGAACCGAGACGAAAATTTGTAAATTAAACAGCAAGCGAGTCAAAGACGACAAACACCTACCGACAGTGCATTTTAGTGGCCTTTGAAATACTGCTCAAACAACCATCAAGCAATAGCAATACTAATTTCTACCCAAAAAAATAGATTAACCACCTTAACTGGAGTTTTGTACGTGAATGTGCGTGCGTATGTGCAAGCGGAGTAGTGGCACAATAAAAAAGTAAATAAAGCGCGTGTGAAGTGGTGCAGAAAGTGAAAAGCGAGCGGAAACAACCAAAAATTAAATAAAACGTAAGTGCAATGGTGTGAAAAGTGTTTCGGGCATTTTTCTTCTGAAAAGCTGATAATGATATGCGTTTCGACCATTTTTAAAATTTCATGAAATCAACATTCCAACTCACAACGGTGTGCGTGTGCAGGCGGGAGCGAGACAACTAGTGTGATCGCCAGTAGCTGCTGCCATTTCGGTTTCGTTTGGCTTTTTTTTTTTTAAACTAATCTGTGGTATTTGTCACGTAAAGAGTAAATCGCTAAAAACTAAAAGAGTATTTAACATTGTTAAAAAAAGGTATAAATTATTTGTACAGAGTGAGAAGCTAACACACACACACACACGTGTTGCGGTTTATCAAAAGGGAAGTGTGTGTGTTTAGTGTTAAAAACAGCTGGTACAGCTGCCGCTGCAGCGAAGAAGAAGAGAGTGGGAAGAGGGAAAGAAGAAGCAGAAGTGGAGAGAGAAGAACACGCTTATTATCCTGCGTAGTTTCCTTTTTAAAGGTGGTTGTTCTGATATTACGTTACAGTTTACACTTTTCTCTGCTCCTTGTTTAGTCCTGCATTGCTATGCATTTACTGCTGCCTTTGTCGTGGTGGTTTTTATTTAATTGCGCTGCGCCACTTCGTTTCTTTGGTTGTTCTCTTTCTGTTCAAAGATTCGGAATGGGAATCGGGTTCCGATACGGTGTCGCCCTTTTCAAGCAGCTGCTGCTTGCAGGGCATCGGAGCTGCCGGTGCTAGCCAAATAAAAGCGAGTTAGAAAATATAATTGATTTTAAGGGTTAAAATGTACTACTAATTAAAGTGAATAGTAGGTTGATTGAGTTTTCGTGACTGATGAGAAGCGGCTTCACTTGCTTACAAGTTACACTTGCTTACAAGATACCCTTGCAAAATTATTAAAAACGAATAGTTATATAAAATAATTGCAAATTATTATAGTTTACATATTTAATTTATAACATTTATATTTATTTATTTTTTAAGGAGCATCCAAAATTTTTTTTTTAAATAAATTCAAAAATAAGCTTAGAAATACTAAAAGTCATTTAGCAATCAAATGTTTAACAACAAAAAAATTAAAACATTTATGAATTTTTTAAATCTTACATATTCGTGACGAATGCGAAAATGGGAACTGTAACTCACATGTTTTGTTCGAATTAAGTTTTCCACTTCTCTTTTGTCATAAGTATTTTGTCTTAAACGTCATAAGAGTCATTAAAGTTAGGCGAACTTGGTTTCTTAAAAGCCGTTTACTGACGTTTTAATTTTATTAATTGTTTGCTTAGAAAAGAGATCGGCTGGCCGTAATTATAGCTTAATAACATTTTTTACTATATTTAAGTCTTAATTTATGCAGGTTTTTGTGTGGTAAAAGGTAAGGTCTTGGAAGTCTTAGTGTAACTTTACCTGTGCTTCTTTTTAATTTTGCTTACCAAGCCTCTTTTAAATGGTTTAGCTTATTCGATTATTAAACAGAAAGGTACATTTTGTTGTTTTTTTAAATACATCCCCTGTAGTTGTAGCACTGAAGAAACTTATCTTATGACTTTGTATTATTTAAAAAATCACGACCCAGAAGCGATAAGATAAGGACGCGTTTATTTACCAGCTATATTTAGCAGAGAAAGCCAAATAGCCAGCACTGGCAGACCATAAATCGTTGCACCATTTTCTTTTATTGGCTGCGTGTGTGCGTGAGTAACACGCCTGTGAATCCTGTTTTTCCTTGAAACAAGTTTGTGGCCTTTTGATCTGCCAGCAAGGTGTTCACTTCACTTTACTCATTCATTGTTTGTTTCTCCATTGCAGCCGACGCTTCATCATCCATTCGCAGCATCCAGTAACCGAAATCGAGGCAATAATCATCAGCTACCCACAATCAAGGTAGCCATCCATCAGAAGAGCCCCGAGAAGGAGGGACCGAACCACAATCATAGCGATGGCCTGTGCAACCCTGAAACGCGCTTTGGACTGGGAGTCGATGAACCAGCGTCCGCCGAAGCGCCGGCGCTGCAATCCTTTCGGCCAGGCCGGGAGCAGCGCCAGCCCATCGTCCCCGTCCCGCGACGGTCCTAGCACCTCGGCGGGCCTGCCCCACACGCCCAGCAACCGATTCGCCAAGGACAACACTGAGCCAAGTCCGTTCAGCGAGGCCTCGCTGGCCAAAATGTCACCAGGTGAGATATTCGGGATGGGATACTTTTATGGCTACAGATCCAAGTAGTGGGGATAACCTGTGGAATATTGGGCGTTTTTCAGCAATTGCTGTTGACAATATTAGGGCAAAGTTATTATTGAATTACTTAAATTACATGCTTTATTAGGAACTAAAGTTATAGCATACGTTTATAATACTTTTTTTTTCAACATAAAACTTAAAAAAACTTTCTATTAGCGTTACCAAATAGATGAGTGTGAATATGAATATCATTTTTGTACATTTAAAAGCGAATTTGATTTGAAAAGCCAATATTTGTTACGCAATATAGTGTTGCTTTTTGATTTTAAATATGTTCTTTCTCCTGCTTTACTTAAATAAAAACATTTCATACATAAAAAATTTTTTTTTTCCAATTAATATTTAAAAGTAAACATTTTTTTTCATATACTTGCTAGCTAAAATTTCAAAAATGTTTTGTCTGTATATTGTTTTATTTTATACGGAACTATAAGCAGGTAGAACCATAAGCAAACTTTAATAAACCTTTCCGAAATTGCAGACAAAATGGCCGAGAACTTGTGCAATGAGATCAAGAGACTGCACAAGCGCAAGCAGCTGCCGATCACCTCGTCGGCCTTGGAACGCATGCAGGATTCGGAGTCCAGCGGATCGGAGATGGGACCGGAGAGTCCGCGTCGCCCGGACAGCCCACCGAACCTGATGCGCCACGGCGAGAAGGCCCTATTCACGTTCAAGCAGGTGCAGCTCATCTGCGAGAGCATGATCAAGGAGCGGGAGAACCAGCTCAGGGAGCGCTACGAGTCCGTGCTGACCACCAAGCTGGCCGAGCAGTACGATGCCTTCGTTAAGTTCACATATGATCAGATACAGCGTCGTTACGAGGCAGCGCCTAGCTGTGAGTTCAAATCGATATCCTTCCTGCGATGTGATGTTATCTTAATTAATAATGATTCATCTTATCTTTTTAGACCTGTCGTAAGACTGTGTGGGGGAGCTCAAGCCTCGAAAAACAGAAATTAATAATTGCACTACGATCTTATGTGACGGTAGATCTACCGCGACAACAACAGCCCTCATATAAACTAAAAACAAACAACAAATAAGAAACACAAAACAACATAAAACTAAAAAAAAACAAACAAAAAAAACAAACTACAACATACATCGTGTTTAATATATTTTGAAATACACGCGAAGAAAGCAGTTATAGTTTATGCCTAGATTTACATATATATTGTATCGGTTAGCAGCAAAGGAATGAATTATTTAACAGCAAGCAGAAACAAACAAAAAGAATGAAACCAACAAATCTTGTTAAATTTATGTTTTTCACATAACGAAAATTCTAAATAAAATGACAAATATCTGATATGAAGAACTATAAGCACACAGCCACTGCAGACATATGGTGCATCCGTAGAGAGAACGATTCAATGAAACCTCAAACGTAGCTTCGTACATAGCAGACCGACAGAATTGGTAAATATAATGTTAGGTACATGTAGCATATAAGATATTATGTAAAACGTATCAAACTATACTGTTTTTTGAAATAGTAATTTATGAGCGGAATGCCCTGTGCGAAAGAAGCGAACATTAAATCATCAACAAAGAGAACTCACTACTCATGAAGAACACTTTTCATAGTTTATTTTTGCATATAAGTTGTACTAAGGCAAGAAACGAGCGCTTGACTTTATCTATTTTATCGAGTATCGTTTGTTAATTGTTTCTTCCTTTGATGCGAATAATGGCAAAGCAATGTAAACACACAAAGCAACTGAAAACTTTCGATTTGCTTTATAGCGTATGGAAAATGAATACGAAATAAAAAAAAAAATAAACAAAAAAAAAGTTATTCATTAAGTCAAATTGAACGCTTTCAAATAATATACGCTTGACAGAAGACGTTTCATGTTCATTAAAAATATTTTTTTCACATCTTGAAGAATATATGCAAGAATATATGATATATATATATTTTTCAATTACCGCAATCATACATACTTTATATTAGTAATTTAAACTTAAAATTAGTAAAGAAATGCCATTTTTATATTAAAACAAACAAAAATAAAATGATGAATTGTACG